CTACCTTCTGTCACCAAAGTTGCTCACGGGTTGCATCGCGTCTGACAGGCCATCCATCAGTTTCTCTCTCTCTCTCTCTCTCTTGTTCTCCCAGCTGTTTGTCCTCCCAGCAAGCACTCCATCCACTTCTGTAACCTTTGCTCTGAAATTCAGGGTTCCAGGATTCTCACCCTTGTCTTTTTCATTAGGTTTCTCTCATCTTTGTTGTACACAACCCATGTAGTGTGTCTGCCTAGTCTGCCATCTTTGCCTATCATTTATCCTGACAGCTGCTTCCATGAGTGTTAATTTTGGATCCAATCAAAATGAAGTTTTGGTAACTTCAAATCTTTTCTCAATTTATATTATTATTTATTGGTCCAGTTGTGAAGATTTTTGTTTTCTTTACACCTGAGGTGCAATCTACAAAATTTTTTTTTAGTAAGTATTTTAAATCCTCTTTGCTTCCAGAAAGTAAGGTTGTATCATCTAAATATTGTAGTTGTTGTTGTCAGGTGCCATCAAGTTGGAACCGACTCATAGCGACCCCATGCACAGCAGAACAAAACAATGTCCAATCCTGGGCCAACCTCACTACCGCTGCCACACTTGACGCCATCAATGATGCCACCTGGCCGATCCATCTCATTGAGGGTCTTCCTCTTTTTCTCTGACCCTCCATCTTACCCAGCATGACATCCTTCTCCAGCGACTGTTCCCTCCTGACAATATGTCCAAAGTAGGAGAGACGAAGCTTAGCCATCCTGGCCTCCAAGGAGCATTCTGGCTGCACTTCTTCCAGAACAGATCTATTGGTTCTTTTGGCAGTCCGTGGCACTTTCAGTATTCTCCTCCAACACCACAACTCAAAGGCATCAATTCTTCTACGATCCTCCTTATTCACTGTCCAGCTTTCGCATCCATATGAGGCTATTGAAAACACAATGGCCTGCACCCTAGTCCTCAAGCTGACATCTTTGCTCTTCAACACTTTCAAAAGTTCCTGTGCAGCAGATTTGCCCAATGCAATACGTCGTCTGATCTCTTGACTGCTACTTCTGCGAGTGTTGATAGTTGATCCAAGAAGAATGAAGTCCTTGACAACTTCAATCTTTTCTCCATTGATAAGAATGTTGTTTATTGATCCAGTGGTGAGGATTTTTGTTTTCCTGACACTGAGATGCAATCCATACCGAAGGCTGTGCTCCTTGATCTTCATAAGTAAATGTTTCAAGTCCTCTTCACTTTCAGCAAGCAAGGTTGTATCATCTGCATATGGCAGGTTGTTAATGAGTCTTCCTCCCATCCTGACGCCTCGCTTTTCTTCATGGAACCCAGCTTCTCATATTATTTGCTCAGCATACAGGTTGAATAAAATTAGTGAAAGAACACAACCTTGTCGCACACCTTTCCCAATTTTAAAACATTCAGTGTTCCTATGCTCTGTTCGAACAACTGCTTCTTGGTCTAGGTACAGATTCCTCAGAAGTACAATTAAGTGTTCTGGAATACTCATACTTCTCAATGTTGTCCATAGCTTGTCATGATCCACATAATCGAAAGCCTTTGCGTAGTCAATAAAGCACAGGGAAACATCTTTCTGATATTCTCTGCTTTCAGCCAAGATCCATCGCACATCAGCAATGATATCCCTCGTTTCACGGCCTCTTCTGAATCCAGCTTGAACCTCTGGAAGTTCTCTGTCAATGTATGATTGTAGCCATTTCTGTATTACCTTTAGCAAAACTTTACTCGTTTGAGATATCTAAATATAGCAGGTTGTTAATGAGTGCTCTTCCCTATCTTGATGTCAGTCTTCTTCATATAATCTAGCTTCTTGGATTAGTTGTTCAGCATAGGATACGATGAGTTAGGTAGGTTACGAGAAAACAACAATTTTCCACAGTGGCTGCACCAGTTTACAGTTCCACCAGCAGTATCGGAGGGTCCCAGTCTCTCCACATCCTTGTCAATATTTGTTCTTTTCCATTTTTTTTTAAAACTCTTGTTATCAATGCTTTGTGAACAATGTTATCATTTAGAAAGATGCAAATAAAAACAACAATGAGTTATCATCTTACTCCAGCATTGATAACAACAACAAAAAACCAAACCAAAACAGCAAACAATAAATACTGGCAAGTGTTTGGAGAGACTGAGACCCTCCTACTACACGGCTAATGGGACTGTAAAATGGTGTGGTGCTTTCTCAAAAAGTGGGAAATAGAAACTCCATATGATCCAGCAATCCCTCTGCTTGATATCGATCCTCAAGATATAAGAGCTGTGACGTGAGGAGATGAATGCACACGCGTGTTCACTGCAGCAAACACAGGGAGACAGCCTCAATGCCCATCAACAGAAGAATGGTTGAACAAACTTTGGGATATGTATACAACACAACAAAGAATAATAAGAAATCTGTGAAAAACCTCATAACAGGGATGAACCTGGAGGACATTGTGCTGAATGAAATTGTTGTTGTTAAGTGCCTTGTAGTCGGTTCCGGCTCATAGTGACCCTACACAGGGTTTGCTAGGAGTGGCGGCTGAATCTGAATCACTAACACTGTGGTTCAAACAGACCTCGCGGTCGAGTACATTATCCCACAGCGCCACACCAGGACTCCTGAGTGAAATCAGTCAGTCACAAAAGGACCAACATTGTATGAGACCACAGTTGTACAAGTTAAGAAAAGGTTTTCTTGGTAAAAGAAACATTCTATGATGGTTACCAGAGATGGGAGGGTAGGGAAGGAAGGTTACCACTAGGTAGCGGTAGACACGTTACGTTGGGTGGTGGGAAGACAATGTACAACAAGAGGTAGAGGAAAGATGAAGGCAGTGGAAGGCACAGGGAGGAGTGCATGAGTTCAAGTGAACCGAGGGAAGACTGACTTGATGGCACATGGAAGGAACGGCAATCACTGTAATGACACGGATTGTAGACTGTGGGATTGGTCATTTGTTCTGTTACCGTCATTCAATCCACAATACAAAGTTATAAACAAAAATGACGGTAAAATACATTTCAGATCAACAAACATGGTGAGTGTCTCATCCAAATGCCCTTACCTTGGGCAGAAGGGAAGTGACAAGAGGCCTGGACTAAAAAGGAAGTGGTGGTGACACAAAGGCCACATCCAGAGGACAAGAAAACACTGCAAGCGCTGGCCTGCATGCAAAACTATGGTAACAGCAGGCCATGCCAGGACGCCAGGCTCCCCAACCCAGAGAGGTGTGGCCACATCTGCTGGATCCACACTGAACTGGAGCCAGGCCAGAGCTGAGCTGCTTCTAAAAGGCCTCGACAACAAATACCTCAGGCTTGGCCATGGTCCCTTGACTCTGTGTTGAAGTGTGGAAGCAGCCATGGGCAATATGTAAATGGATGGGCGTGGTTGCTTTTCAACAAAACTTATTTATGAACAGTGAAATTTGAATTCCATGATTTTCAAGCATCATGAAATCGTATTCTTCTGAGTTTTTTTAAACCAATCCTTAGCTTATACTCCAAAACCCACCACGATCAAGCTAAGTCCGACTCATAGCAACGATGCACAGGGTTTCCAAGGCTGGAAATCTTTATGGGAGCAGAACACCTCATCTGTCTCTCATGGAGCAGCTGGTGGGCTCACACCGCTGACCTGGTGGGTCCTAGAGAGCTATCAGGCTTACAGGCTGCATCAACAGGCAGTGCGCCACATCTGGCCCACGCCATCCTTGGGCAATCACAGAAACACAGCAATGCCACTCCTGGACACAGAGGCAAGAGGAAAGGAGGCTTCTGTCCACCAAGAGAACGTCCAAAGCCCCACTATGCCTAACAGCCTAAAGGGGACCACCACAACATCCAGACAGGGTGCACAGTACACACCGAAACCCGCAAGTGCTGCCCACATGAACCCACTGGCCCCGACGTCCAAGTCTGGGGGCAGGTTCAGATGGTGCTGACCCCTGGGCGCTTGTCAAGGGCTTCCGGAGCCCACTAGGGATGGGCAGGCCGTCTCTCTGATGATGACAGGGGGGAACACAAGGCCCTGCTCTATCTATAGGTGACGCCTCACCAAGAGCAGACCAAGTGGCAGCCATGTGGCCAGGCCACCGGACACCCAAGGCACAGGAGGCCAGCCCAGCCAAAGAGAGAGAGGTCAGGCCTGCTGGGGCTATGTGAGCACAGACCTCACACCTGGGTCACTGTGACGTGGTCACTGTCAGGGAGCAGCAACCTTGAAGAGAGAGGCAGCAGAGGTACGTGGAACAGGAAAAATAAAGGGTCCCTGGGATGGTAAGTGTGAGGCCAGTGGCTCCGTACAGATAGACCCCTATGGGGCAGTTCTACTTGGTCACACATGGGGTCTCCCAAGGTCCGAAACAACAAAAGTGAAGCCAGTAAGAAAAACTGTGGAAAGGTGCCTTTGTCAGTGAAGACATGAAAACAGAGAGACACCAAGACCAGAAGATGATGCCGATGGAAGGTGTGGGATCGGGATCAGGGGCTCCTGCGGGGGTGTGAGGGGAGCAGGCTAGGGTTTACTATGTGATAAGCATGAGTTTGGTGAGTCGTTAGGTGTTATCTGTAAGTATAGGCTTACTAATAAGGTAAAAATGCTGGGTAAGAGGCACCACCTGCCAGGCGGAAGCAAAGCATGGCAGTGCCAGGGAGCCCAGCCTCAGAGCACCCAGACACTCCTGGACAGAGCAGGGACCTTGGGGTGCTCACACTGCTACCTGAGGCAGCCTGCAAACAGGGAGCCACTGAGGGAAGGCTGGGAGAGCAGTTTGCCAGGACAGTGTCCCATGTCTAGTGTAACAGAGCTGACAAAGTGGACAGGGGAGCCTCATGGCCACAGGAACCCCTGGGGCTTTGATCTCCATGTAACCTCCAGCCAGCCCCACCTGGGCCCCAGGACGCATGAAGAAGGCAGGGGAGGGCAGTGCACAGTATCCAGCCTGGGCCCCAGGACGCATGAAGAAGGCAGGGGAGGGCAGCGCAGTATCCAGCAGAGGCAGGGGGGGTACCTGTCAAAGGGCAAGGGGCTGCCCAGAAGGCTGGACACGACGGCGGCCCGGTGCTGAGAGGCCAGCAGGCACACGCTGTGCTGGGCAGCCTTCAGGACATGCTCTTCCTGAGTCTCCTGCAGCTTAGAACGCAGCACGCTCACGATCTCGGGCACCTGAACAGGACAGGTGACCCAGCTGGAGTCAGGTGTGGCCTCCTCGACCTCACTCCCATGGTCAGAGAGTGGTCTCAGCTGCGCAGATGCCCACCCAGGCTGCTCTCAGGCTGTCACACCCAGAGGGTCACAGGCTCCCTTAGGTGGGACCTGCACTGGCCCGTCCACAGCCACCCCATGCTGAGCTGGCCAGAGGGAACGGAGCCCTAGCTGAAGCCAAAGAACAGGATGGGCCTCGGCGAAGCCCAAGCTACCCGGGCTCTGCAGGGACTCAGTGGCCCAGCCCTCATGGGTGCTCATGGGATCACGGCCAGAATCCTCTTTCCCTACCAGAGACCCAGCCGGGAGCCACCAGGGTCTGCTGCGATAACATCAAAGACAAAGCCGGAGGGTATCTGGTCATCCCTTTCTTTCTGGCCGGATATACTGGTGGGTGCAGAATTCTAGCTTGACGGTTCTTTACTGCTACTACCTGAAAGCTGTGCGGCCTCCCTTTGGGCCCCCGGGGTTTCTGAAGAAAGCCGTCCGACACTTGAATCGTTCCCCGATTGCTGCTATTTTCACATTTGTTCCTTTCTCTTTAGTTCCTGGAAGTTGGACTATGAGACATCTTGCTGTGAGATTCAATGTTGTTGGTGTTAAGTGCCTTTGAGTCAGTTCCAAGTCATAACGGCCCTGTATACAGGGTTTCTGAGGAGCAGTTGGTGGGTTTGAACTACCTACCGTGCAGTCCGGTGCATTATCCCACAGCGCCACACCATGGCTACTGAGATTCAATAAACTGCCGGCAATGGTAGGTTGTGGCTTTTGCAAACTGAGAAATTTCTAATACTTTCCCTGTCATGTGTCCTTCTCTTTGTGAGACCGAGGATGCTCGTTAGACCTTTTGTTGTTGGCTCACGGGTCCCTGAGACACCTGTTCATGTTTTTCTCTCCCTTTTGCCCAGACCGTGTACCTTCTATTGCTCTACCTTCTAGTTATAAATTCCTCCTTGAATCCATGCAGACACTTAGAAGTTTTGTTACTGTGACTTTGCATGTTTTCATTTGTGCTTTTACCAGCCAGCATCTTGGCATTGGTCGATAGCATCTCTCCTTCAAGTCGACAGCTTCCTGGTTCTTGGTATAATCACACAAGGGGGACTCACCACACACCCCACTTAAAAGACTGCAAAGCAGGTACGGTAAGTGTGCCGCCCTGGGAGCGGTCTCCAGCAGGCCCCAGGGGCTTCTTGGGGAAACTCACAACACGCTCGCCTTCCTGTGTCTGAGCCAAGATTCAGCACATGTGGTCCATCCTGCTGCAGGGACCAGGCACCTCTCCTGGCTGCCTGCCAGCAACTTACACACACCTACGCCTGCAGTCTCCAGCCTCAGTACCTCCACACGACAGCGAACAAGCTCTGCTACCACTCCCCACCACGTGGATGGGAGTCACTACTGCATGACACGAGTGCACACACCCAGGATGACTCTCACTCACCCCGCTGGGTGCAGTAAGCCTGCAGTCTGGCCACGCTTCCACCGTGTGTGCTGCAAGCAGGTGGCTCAATGATTCTCTGGACTCCCTTGAACCCTCAACAAGCAGAGCTGCTTTTACCAAACTCTAACCTAGCCTCAGACAGAAGAAAGACCCGTCCCTGTCAGGCCCATGGGCAAAAGGAGCAGAGCAGGGAGGGTCTAGCTCCAGCAGAGCCTGGCCAGGCTATCCTCTGGCCCCCTTCAGGTCTGCTCTGGCCCGCATTTCAGTATTACGCAGCACACTATCATTGTCCCCACGCAGTCTTTGTTCCCTTTCCAAACCTTTACTTTTCGATGGACTCTCCACCTCACCTGCCCCCTAGCCCCCCCACCTGCCTTCTCCAGCAGAGCTGCTCCGCGTTCCTTCAGCAGAGAGTTGATCAGGACTGTAGCAGCACGGGAGCAGTTCTTATCAGGGTCCCCTAGACCCTCAAACAAGGTGAGCAGGAGGCTGATGAGCTGATCTGGTGGGAGACGCTTCCCAATGATCTGGGGGGAACAAGCAACAGTCAGTCCCTCCTAGGCCTCAGAGACAGGGCTCAGCGACTCTGCTGGCACGTCCCACCCCAGAGCGCGCCCACGCGGAGGCCTGCGGCACCTGGGCTATGCTGTGGCATGTGTGGAAAAGCACAGTGAAGTCTGGGTTCACCAGGCCATCCTGGAGGGCCACCAGCCGTTCCACCACTTCGTCCCGGTAGTCCCGGGCAAAGCCTACAGAGACAGGAGGGCTGGGTTTCCAGGCCGCCCAGCCCATCGCCAGCAGTCCAGCGTCCTGGGTGCTCTGTGGACCCCACCAGGCCAGGGGCTCACCCTCATAGCCCAGCTGGAGGTAGAGCAGTGAGTAGACGCAGCCGACGGCCTCGTGGCGGGTCACGGGCCGCATGTCAGCACAGCGCGGGGAGAAGAGACCAACGAGGAGACCCAGGTTGTGGAAGGGTACCAACGCCTATGCAGACAGAGGGCAAAGGGAAGAGTGGGACTCCACGAGTGCCCAGGGGACTCCCAACCTGGGGGGATCACCTGCTATAGGTAAGGAAGATCAGGTCACAGGTAGCCTGTGGCCAGACCAGAGCTCTTAGGAAGCCATCCAATGCTGTGTACCCCACCCCACGGTTGCCCAGCTCTCCACATGGGCTTCTGCCAGCTCCCCATGTGCCATCCTCAGAGGGCGGTCCTCACCCACTGGTTTGGGGGCTAAGGATGAGGCAGAGGACCAGGCTGCAGGTCACAAGTGGAGCGGCCTGGCTGAGATCAGAGGGGGGCCCCTGCCCAGGACATGGAGGGAAGACAGAAACCAGATTCTGCTGCTGCCCTGGGATGTCCCCTCTCCAGAAGGCAGATCCCCTGCACCAGGTCCTGCAACACGTGCCCAGAGCCCCCACACCCTTGAGCTTTCCTGCCTCTCCCTGTGTCCCCTCCAGTTCCTGACAGCGCTTGCCTACCCCCCCCACCCCCACAAGCCCTTTTAGGAGCAGCATCCTGCATCTGCCCAATGAAAAGAAAGCAGTTCACAGAGGGGGACTGGCCGCTCTTGTCTTTCCAGACAGCTGTGTGTCTCCGGCACCAGAATAAACTCTGGGAAGAACAGGCCACCAAGGCGGGAGCAGGAAAGGCCACTGAGCTCGGCATGGAAGGTTCAGGCCTGGGGCCTGAGGCACAGGGTCTCAAGTGTGGTGCGTTTGAAGAAACGAAAAATCCTGGAGGGGAAGCCTGTGACCATCCTGACAGGCAACGGCATCCGCACAGGCTCCAATCTCTGTTCTTCACAAGACTCAGTAACACAAATAAAATGCTTCCAAAGAACGGACAGCAGGCGCTCTACTGAGCAGAAACCAGAGGACAATTGTACCGCGGAAGCCTGGCTCTCAGACAAACCCCCTGCCCCATACTGGGCACCCAGGGCCCCTGCCTTTGTCCCGATGACCTGGGCTCTACTGCTTTCAAGCCCAACCCCCAGCCCCCTGGTCCAGGTTTAGTCAGCCCTGAGGCCAAGGAATGACTGGACACTCCTGGCTCCGCAGGTCCTCAACCAATGTCTCCAGAAAGAGGGTTCTAGGCCAGGAGCCTGGAACAGGGCCAGAACTGCAGGAGGGAGGCCAGCGGGTGGGACCGTAGTGGACAGGTGCGGGGCAGCTGGCACTCACACTGACGTGCAGATGCTCCAGGAAGTAGCGGAGTAGGCAGGCGCTGACCTCCATCGCTCGTTCCCGCTCGTGGCCACGGGGAGACTTGATCCATGGGCTCAGGTGCTAGGGTAAGGAGAGCGATGCCACTTTTTCAAGGGAGTGCCTGAGGGCCAGACGCAGGGTGAGGGGGACCACCTACCTCCACCATGACCTGGAGACCCTGAGGAGTCATGTTCCGACGAAGGAGACTTGTCAGCAGGTCCTCTAGAGCATGGACCGTGTCCAAGTACAGGGCCTGGAGGAGGAATGTGAGGCTACCACCTTCCCTGAGTGACTGCCCGCAGTACAAGGAAGGGGACGGTTAGGGTACACACCTCTCGGTCACTGGCATCGTCCCCACTGGGCTCTGGCAACAGGGCCATGACACTGAGCAGGCAGCTGTGGGCCAGGTCTGCCCGAACCTGCTCTTCCAATGGTGGTTCCAGGGAACTGAGCAGCCAGTCAAGGGGCTGCCAGGGGGTCAACACAGAGCCCCGCGTACTCATATCCACCTCAGGCCCAGGCCCAGGGCGGCACCCCACTTCCCAGAGTGTGCACACATGCCAAGACACACCTGCATGCACACAACCAGACCAGGAGAAAGGATACACGAGGAGCGTGCAGGCCATCATGGTCTTCTTCCGCAGGGGTGTCCTCATCACATCTGGGGGTTCTGCCCGGATGAAGTCCTACATGGGCAACACCAAGCTCTCAGCTCCCACACAGACCTCCACCGCCAGCCTCGTGCCCGCACTGCCCATCCCATGCTCTCACCAACATGTGCGCCACCAGCTCTTTCTTCCGTGACAAGTGGAAGACACTAGCCTGTGTGCTGCCACAGATGGCCTGGCTGACCATGCAGATACTCCGGACGAGACACAGCTTCAGGGCCGGGTCCTGGGGGAACAGCATGCTGCAGGGGCCACCCCATCCTGTACCCACATGGTGACCCCCCACCAGCAGTGCAATCCATTCTGAAAAGACCCTGAGCAGTGAGTGGCCTTTGGCCTGCCCAAAGCCACCCATGGTCAGAGAACTATGTATGACGCCCTGGACTCAGTTCTGCCGTCCGCACCTTGGAGGCCTGGATCTCAGCCTAGGGCTCTGCCCACTAGCTGTCCCCAGCAGGAAACAGGAAAACTCCTGCTTGTATGGCCACCAGGCCCCATGAGGTCAGAAAGGGAGCGAAGACAGTTCTGAGGGCATGGGTGAGCTCGCCTGGGGCACCTAGGGGTCCAGAGGTCGCGGTTCTGTGTGCCATGGAGACTAGGAGGCCCCTCAGAACAGGCCCAGATGCTGTTTCTCTCGCTCCCAGCCTGCAGCAGACCGGAAGAAGGACCCCACCCCGATGTGGGGCTTTAGCCATTTGAGGAGGCTGTGGTTCGCCGGGTTAGTGCCAGAGAGAGTCCAGAAGGGAAATCGTTAGTGGGACCGAGAGAGGCTGGGGACAGAGCCAGAAGCAGCAGAGCACTGGGGCCACGAGATGCCCAAGGGGAGTGGCTGCTGCTGAGGAAAGCAGCGATACGTAGTCCCCGCAGTGCTGATGGAGAACCTTCTGTGGGCTGGGACCAGAGGCCCCAGTGCACGCCCCCTGGCTTCTGCCCTGCAGCCCCCGACCAAGCAGAGGAGAGAGAGCCGGGAGGCAGAGTCTCCCCGGGCTCTGAGCACTGTACCTTGGTTTCTACCTTTATCCCTAGAACCTGAACAAAAGAAAGCGGGAGGGTTACAGGTGAAACTGCGTGAGCCCCCCCCCAGGGCAGTACCTGGCCCACCTTGGTGTTAAAGTACTGGAACATGTTGCGGAGGATGTCGGCCTCCACCCGGGCCAGCACCAGCTCACGAGGAGCCTGTACAGCCACCTGCCCATAGCACAGGATCAGGGCGCTCTTCATCTTCTCCACCTCGCTCTCGCTCCGGTCCTGGGGGCAGTGGGTGGTACAACTCTGACTACACCGGGAGCCCTGCCCAGTCCACGCCCCTGAGTCCACCAGCAATGGCAGAGGCATGGCTGACCTCAGGGATGCTGCCCGTCCCACCAGGCCCGAGACAGTGCCCTCTGCTGGAAAGCAGGAGGAAGTGGGGCAAGATCTAGGTGTCTGCTCTCCTGCCCGTCCTCAATCACAGTTGGCATTCTGGGCTTGCAGAGTGGTCACACGCTTGATGGCCACCAGGGGGCAGAGGGAGCAGCACAGTCTCTAGACCCTGCTCCTCCCTGCTCTCCTCTGCCTGGAAGAAGCCCACGCCCACTCCAACTAGGGTCTAGGTATGGCAACCTCCACGAAGCACTAGGACAAGGGATCCCATTCATCCACACCTTGAAAATGCTTAAGATGCCGATGGACTTCCTGAACACGTCAGAGCGTACAAAGTCCTCCAGTTGAGCCAGGGTATCATCCAGGTGAGAGATGGCACAGATGCCGAAGCAGCAGGCCAGGCCCTGGGGAGGTCACATGGGGCTCACACGGGGCACGCATGCACACACATGCATGTGCGTGCACACACACATTAGCCTGAAGACCGGCTGGCCACAGCAGGGAAGGGCACAAAGGGCAGTGGCAGCCCCACTCTTGTCTGGAGGCTTCTCCTGCACCAGCCTGCAGAGGTTGGGTGCCTACGCCCACTTCCCAGGAGAGGCCTGGAGCAGCTGAAGAGTGGTATCTCAGGAGCGTGCACGCGCACGCACACACACACACATACACACACACAAGAGCGCCCAGGAGCACCTCACGCTCTGCCTCCTCCTGGTATCTGGCCGTCTCCAACAGCTCCTGAAGGCGTTTCCTCACCACCTCCTGACTGGTCACGGCGCCCAGGGTGGTCCCTATACATTTGTACAGGAAGTTCTGGAGGAAAATACAGAGGAGGACAGTGTGCAGTGCTGAGCCACACCGGGCACAGGATGGGGGGGGGGGGGCAATATTCTCAGTAACAACTTGGTGGTGGCCACTACAGCCCTGAAAAGGCACCAGGGGGTCACAGCAGGCCTGGCCCAGAGCCAGACTGCCGGATGGGAGCTGCTGATTTCTAACCCATTCTGGAACAGGATCTGGTCCCTAGAGACAGCGTGGAGGCCACACCTTCTCCCCGGGGGCTCCGTCATGACAGGGCAGCTGTCTGCACATCTCCAGGCTCAGCTGGCAGACCCATGTGTTGTCAGACACGACAGCCAAAGTGTCCCGCAGGAACTGTGTTTGAGAAGAGACGCAGGTGAGGACACATCTTAGGACAGCTGCCTGAGTTGTTGTGTTAAGTGTCACTGAGTCAGTTCTGACCCACAGTGACCATGGACAGGGTTTCCAAGGAGCAGCTGGTGAACTTGAACCACAGACCTGGCAGTTCAAACCGACTCTGCAGTCCAGCGCATTAACCCCTAGCGGGCGGAGTGGTCCCCCGGGCAGGCTCCCCTGTCTCTCACCATCAAGAGCTTTTCCTCCCATTCCGGCCGTGACAGGGTCTTCTCCGTGTGTTCTGAAACAAACGGACCCGTAGGCACCGGCACAGGCCAGCCACCATCCAGCCCCCGGCTGCCGGCCCAGCTGCCCAGGTAACAGGGACAGGCGTACTATCCTGACACCTGAGGAAGGCACTCAGCAACCGACACAATCCCATAGCACCTCGGGCCTCACCATCTAGGTGCTGCAACAGTGGGGGCACGGTGGTTTCCCACCTGGAGCCCAGCAGAGGGTGGACATGATGATGGAGGACATGCAGTAGTCGCAGTGAGGCCGCCCCTCGGCTGTCCCCCACGTAGGGGTCAGAGGACACCACCTGTGAAGGTGTATAAAGGAGCACTCTAGCCAAGGGGCGTAACCCACCTTCATGCCTGTGGTTCCAGGCCTGCCTCACTCCCTGGCCCAGAACCGGGACTGGGACCGGTACTGACCAGCAGCCTGGTGGTTAGGGCGTAGGGTGACGGAAGATTCCCTGAAACAAGAAGAGGACAAGGTGCCATCACATGAGAACACAGCCCAGCACCAAGCCCCCTGGACCCGAGGGCAGGGCAATACTGGATGAGGAACGCGTCAAGCCAGCCGCAGGGCGCCAGGCAGCACGCACGCACCGCTGGCTTCGTACTGGATGAAGAAGGCGTCGGCCCCAGCTTCCTGTCTCTTCAGGGCCAGGTGTGCCAGGCTCCGGCACAGCGGGGTTAGCGCCCCGGTGAAGCGTACAGGTGTGAGAAACTCGAGCAGGTATGGCCAGAGTACCTGGGGACAGAGGGCCGGGTCTGTGGACAGGTTGGTGGAGCAGTCGCCTGCAGACAGGCATTGTAGGTGCGGATGGCCAGGCAAGCTGAGGTACAACTCCCACCAGAACGGCAGGTCCGACAGGAAGCACACAGAGGCCCTTCCCCTCTGGAGGCCACTGTGACCCACACATCCCTGTCCAGGGGACTCCTCAAGAAATTCAAGCAGGGCAGAGAGGACAGCAGTACACAGTCTGCCACCGAGAGGTCTGCCATGTTCACAAAGAGTTACGTGAACCCTCTCTTCATCCTGCTAGGAGACAGGGGCCGAGAGGGTCCCACACAGCTCGCCAGAACAAGCTGCCTACTGACCACCAGCACCCTTCATGGTCAACTGAGCCAGGGTCCAAAGAGAGGGGGGTGGGTGACAAGCAGATGGGATCCCCACATGGGCGAGAGCTCCACAGGAAAGTGGGGAGACCCTGTGCTAGAGGCTGTACCCGAATGGGGCAGTGCCCTGTGGGCTGGCGGGGCACACTCACGTCACTCATCCTGTCCACAGTGGTGCTGATGAGGTAGAGGGTACTGACGCTGATGGCGCGCACGCTGTCTGCAGTCAGGTCCTCGCCTCCCAGGCCTTGCCTCTCGGGCTGGGGGGAAGTGGTGGTGTGTGTGGTGAGCCTGCCCTTTCACTCTTCACAGCCAGGTCAGGTAGCCAGGGGGTCAGGGACACACACAGAAACCACCTCCTGTGCTGGCTTCCCCCCAAGGTGGGCTGGCAAAAGTGAAGGGCGCCAAGAGCTCCCGTCTCAGGCGGCGTCTCTTGGCACGGGAGGCACAGATAACGTGGGCATGGCACCACAGAAGTGCTGCCGCATCCCTAGTAGCAGCCGTCCACCTCAGCAGAGGCAGGGTCCAACGCCTGGCTCGGGGAGCTTTCTCCATAAGGGTGCCGTGAGGCATGCCACCCACGAGATGTGTCAGGTGAGAACCCCAGTGAACATGATCCTGTGTGGAAACCAGGTGTTTGCAGATGGAAATCAGTTCGGTTCACTAGAGATCACGCTGCAGCGTGTTGTTGTTAATTGCCGTCGAGTCAGTTCTGACTCCAAGTGACTCTGTTTAGGGTTTCTGCGGTGCAGCTGGTGGGTCAGTAGTCCAGCACTGCACCAGGATGGTGGGAGACCCATCAAAAGGACACAGGGAGGGAGAGGACTGAATTTCTGGAAGGTGAGGTGATGGAAAAATCTAGAAACTGGTGATGGTGGCAGAACATGGTGACCGAAGTCCGTGCCACTGCATCATGCAAGCAAACAATGTCCAAGTGGCCAATGTTTTATTGTAGACACTGGACCACAATTAAAACGGGGGGTGGGGGGGAGGCCAGGAGTCATGGCGATGGGGCTTCCACTGGCCAAGTCTGGGAGCATCAGAGCCCCCAAACCGCTAACAGGGACATCAAAAGATCACCGCAGGAGGTCGGTACCCCAAGGCCACAGGAAGACATGTATGGAATACACACGCATCAACAGGAATGTGTGAGCAACATAGGAGTCCAACATGTGAATGCACGGACATATGAGCATGTGTGTGGAACAAGATGTGTCCGTATAAATAAGGACCTGGTAAAGTAGAGGGTCAGTGACAAAGAGGAAGACATGAAGACGGCACAGGGCTCAGACATAACAAAGGAGTCAGACCTGACTCAATGACACCTAACAACAACATAGGTGAGAATGTATACATATGTGAAAATATTAACATATATACATAAGAATAAATGAACATAGAGGGTGTGAGCATAAGAACACATAAATGCATGTATGTATGAACAGACATGTGTGACTATAGAGATGAATGTGTGGGTGCATGACCATGCAAACATGTGAGTGTTATATATGAATATAGAGACATGTGAGTGTATGAACATGACCAGGAAAATGTCTGTATTACAGCATGGTATGAAAGGATAAGCGTAGGAAAACTAACAGTGAGTTTGAGATTCGAGAATAAAACTTGTGGGTAAAAGTGTCATGAGTAAGAGGCTCGAGGATCTCCCTCCAAACCACTGCTTAGTTACCAGAGAGTTCCTAGTCATTTCCCTAGCACCCACCAAGCAACCTAACAGCCTCGTCCACGAGCCTGCAGTGTGAGGACTGCAGGCCGTACAACACACCCTCGGAATCCCCGGCCAACACCCCACTGGAATCTCCTCGCCAGCAAACACCAGCCAGACCTCACCAGAGGGGCAGTCTGCAAAACAGCTGCTCCATACTCCAAAAAGGTCCAAGGTCCAGAAGCACAAAGAAAGGAGGCAGAAGAGACACAACACGAAATACAATGCGTGGCTTGGGACTGGACCCCAGACCAGAAAGAAGCTATAAAGGACAGGACACAAATGACCTGCTGATGAGATACGGACAAGGACAGCACGGTCTCACGTGAAACGTTCTGATTCTGACAGCTGTACCACGGTCATGTAGGAGATGATTTTTATTCTTAGGAAAGAAATACCAACGTATTCAGTACTTAGGGACTTTCAGGGGGAAAATGTCAGCAGCTTACTCTTAAATGACACGTGCACGTACATGCGCATGAGTATAAGATATAAAACGAGTGCCGTAACACAAAGACTTCACAAGAAACCGAACCTGCATACCCAGATGCCTAATGACTACAGATGCCAAGACTCTGAACAAAATACCAGTAAACTGAGTCCAGCAACACGTAAAGAGGACTATGGACTGTACCCCAGGAATGCCAGCATGGGCCAACATCCAAGGTCAATTCATGTGACATACTTTATCACTAGAAAAAAGAACAAAACCTACATGAGTCTTACTAACTAAAAACAGAAAAAGCAGCTGACAAAATCCAACATGAGAAAAACATTTGACAAACCAGAACCTCCTCTACCTGACGAAAGGTGTCTATGACAAATCCACAGCGGATGTCAAGTCAGCCGTGGTCGGGAAAGACCAGACACGTTCACTTTAAGAAAAGGACAGGACAAGAATGTCCACTTGTGCTATTTGTATTCAACATTCTACTAGGGACTCTGACCAAGTAAAGTATTTCTATATGCAGATGACATGATCTTGTACACAGAAAACCTTAAGGAGTTCATTAAAAACGAGAACTAATACACGAGTTAGCCAAGTTGTAGTATACTCGAGTTCTATGAAAAGGCAAGCGTGTTTCTATACAGCAGCAATGAGCAAACTGAAAATGAAATGAAGGAAATAACTACATTTACAACAGCACCAAAAAGAATATAATAGGAACGAATTTAACAAAGGAAGTGCAAAACATATACTCTGAAAACTACAAAACACTGTTGAAGGAAATCAAAGACGACTTAAGGAAATGGAGAGTCATCCCAAGGCCATGGATCGACAGAATTAATGTTGCTAAAATGGTGACATTCCCCCAATTCATCTGGAGATGCAACACCAATGTCTATAAAAATCCCAGCTGGCTTTGCAGACACTGACACAGAGTGGCAAAGAAAAGATACAGGATTACATCTCAAGGGTTAAAGTTCCTTTTAAGGATTAATTAACTATTTAAATACATTGTAAAAATCATAAAACCATGTCTCACTGAAAAGTAACGAAAGCAGTTAAGTACCAAAAACTGAGCAGTAATAAAATTTCCCTTGAAAGCATCCTAACTCCAACCTAAGTGCAGATGTGTGTGTGCCTGTGTGTCTAGCAAGGCTTCAACACCCTGTGGACGAGCGCTCATATCCTGGCAGTCGGGTCCTCCGCTGAGCCCCTCAGGGAACCCCCACTTCAGAAGCCTGCATGCCAAGTTTCAAATATGTCGGCAAGGGAGGACTGGTCAGCATATAAGCTACCAGATAATAGAAATAAACTTTTATCCGTGGTGTTGTTAAGTGCCATCGAGTCAATGACAACTCATAGGGACCCTGTACAGGGTTTCCAAGGGGAAGCTGGTGAGCTTGAACTGCCAACCTTATGGTGTAAATCAACTTTGTAGTCCAGAGCATTAACCCACAGCGCCACAAGAAAACCCTACGGAGCTGTCCTCTACCATTTAGGCCCCTGTGAGTTGGAATCAATTCAATGGCAGTAAATTTGGTTGTGGCTGGAGTGTCCAGTTCCAGGCTCTGGGCATAAAAAGGCATTAAAAAGATGAAATCATGCTTTGTTAAAAAAGAAAACTCAATTTTATGCCCACAAACCCAACGACTTAGGCGACAGGAGAAAGCCCTGCAAAGGCAGTGTGCTCACAGAGGTAGAGCGTTAGAAGGCCTGCTTGCACGGCTGACCTGTGGATGGAATCCCAAACTTGGAACTGAAACATCAGCTAAGCATGAAGACGCTTTGGGCAGTCTGAGGCACTGAGCACCTGGCAGAGTTCCTATGTGTGCAGCCCCCGGTGATGGGCATTCCTGGGTGGCCTGTGTGTCTCCCCAGTACACCCGTCTGAGGAGGTGGCTCTTCCACTCACTGGAATAAACTTGAGTCCTGGAGTCCTTAGAGGCAAATCAGCAACCATGGACGAGATCCTGGGATCCGTGAGCAGACACTCAAGTACCCTGAGGAAGCTCCGGCTCCTAAGACACTGACTGCCTCCAGGAGTAGGAACTTCCCAACAAAGAAACCTTCAGGCCAATTTCACAAGGATTTAGGGAAGCAGTAACTCTTCACAGACCCTTTCAGAAATTCAACTCTTGTAAGGAACCCTGGTGTGGCACTGTAGGGTATACACTGAACTGCAAGGTTGGTGGCTCAAACTCACCAGCCACTCCTGGGAAACGTTATACATGAACCAACTGGATGGTACTTAACAACAACAAATCAGGCTTTGGGGTTCTGGTAGAATAAGACTGAACTTCTAGCCTCAAGGTTCAAACCTACCAGCCGCTCCTGAGAACCCCTACAAAGGGCCACTGTGAATGAGAACCAATTTGATGGCACTTAAAACAATCACATTCTAGGCAGATATGGCAAACAAAATGTACACCAAACTTTCTCATGAAGAGATGTAAGAATTCACAACAAAATAGTAACATCAATTTCAGCAACAGACCATCGAATCAGCTCCTACCCACAGTGACCCTGTATAGGGTTTCCAAGGAGCAGCTGGTGCGCTTGAACCACCAATCTCGCAGTTTAAACTGGCTTTGCAGTCTGGTGCATTAACCCACAGCGCCACCCCAAGACTACATCATAACCAACTACACGTGCAACTTAATTAAAACAACAATGAAACCCTAACCCATGGGAATGGCCAAGAAAACACAACAGAGAGCACTGACCGGGCACTGACCGGGATTTGGAATAAGAAGAGTCGCCCCACAAACAGGAGGGTCTCATCCCCAGGGACACCCTCTGCTCATACTTGTGAAAGCTCCTTTATTAAGCACAAAGGGATGAAACACCCACAGAGGGGAGTGGTGGTCATCAACAGAACCCCACCTTCCATGAGGTACACCCAACCCCAGTTATCACCTCATGCATGCACATCCACCCCACCTAGCAGCGGAGACCAGCTGTGACCATGATGCTGAGCAGGTTTCAGCCCCATCTACAGCCAGCCACCAACAGTAGCCAGAAGGCCACATGCACACCCAGCTTGCTGGCCTCCACTGCTCCGTTCTGGGGACCAACCACAGTGTTCACAGGGCCGCACAAGCTGTCCTTTGCAAGCCTTAACACCAGTTTGGTGACATCCAAATAGAAATGCCCAGAGTGGCTGCAGAATGGGATAGCTCCCAGTGACAGGAACCAGACCCCACTGGGTCACAGCTCCCGACTCCCAACTGGAGGAGGGACCTCACCTGCGGCTCCGGGGGCAGTGCGCACTGCTGCACAATGTACTCCACCATGGCCAGGCCTCCGGGCTGCTGCAGGTAGCCGTGGTGGGCCATGGCGCTGACCACCTGCACCACTGCCCGCTTCACCTGCAGGGATGAAGAGGAGCAGACAGGGTCTGAGCCAATGCTCCCCCATCCCCACCTGCACTTGCATCCACCTAACCCTACATTCCGCCTCTACATCTGCTTCCTGTCCACTCCCTACACTCCACAGGGACTCGCCCCAGCTGGGCTCATGCTCAGGTCTTTAGGGGACAGCTGCTCCTACCCCCAAGACCCCCTACATGACGCCAGCCCAGCTCAGCATGGCCACCCTCTTGTCCCTCAGCTCGTAGGGAGGGGTGACCTGCAGTCCTGGACAGTCTGCCCAGAGCCCCCATACGCCACTGTTGGAGAGCACAGTCGGCATTGTCCCAACCCGGGCTCTCCTTGCTGCAGAGATGGATGCAGGCCCGACCCCATGCTGCCCACCCTCCGGAGCCTTCTCCTGCCCCAGCACAGCCCACACGCATGGCCCCAGAGCAGCCAATGGCAGCACAAGGCTATGTGGACTGAGGGCTCCGGGTCACTGACCCTGCTGGAGAAAGCGGGCGGACTCCAGCAGGGTGGGAGGCCTCTCTGGGGAACAGGCTGGTCCCGGTGTCCCCCTCCCCTCGCACCTCGCACTGTGCTGACTACTACCTTGTTGTTGGTGTCCAGAAGGGGGAGTCGCATGGAGGACAGGATGAAAAGCTTCCGGACTTCCATCTGAGCAGCTGCAAGAGACCACCCCCGACAGGTGGCTCAGTCCCCACCCTTGATGCAGACCGACCACTGAAAGTCCAGGTCCCATCTCTACACTACTGGCTAGAGGAGCCAGAAGCATGTCCTCTACCTTGGTTACCCGGGGGCAGCGTGGTCCCCTCACGGGCTCTTTAAGGCTCGCTGCCCTGCACCTTTGAAGGAGCACCTGGGATCTGCAGCTCTGGGATCACCAGACTTCCTTGTAGCTTCAATGGCACAATTTCGGCTGTGGCCTGCCTGTCTCCTGCTTATCCCCCATGGGCTCAGCTCTGGAAGTGCTCACACTTCACAGCTTGGTGGGCCAGCGAGCAGCTGTTGCAGGCACTGAGTTGCAGCCACAAGCCCCTGCCTGCCTCTACAGCCTTAAAGACATCAACCCTTCCGAGCTGGCCCGTACTGTCTCAGCTTGCTGCTCCCAGATAGGTAATGCACAGAGAAGGTACCAACTAGTGGCCGGGCTCACCAGCACCCATGATGCCAGCCTTCAAAGCAGGGCACTGAGCCCTTGGGTCTAATCACGAGCAGACACAGAGACACAAGGAAAGTACACAAATTAACGGGCAAGGACCAGAAGTGTCCACGTCATGAAAGACCAAAGGAAAAACAATGTTGGGAATGATTCTTGACGCCAAGAGTCTGAAGAGCCAGTCAGTCCCCGTGGGCCCTGTCTCTCAGGGGGGACCTGTGAGAACAGACCGTGTGTGACAAGATGGCTACGTCACACTCCAGGCAGAGCCATCAGGGGCATGGCACTGGACCTCTGGGTGACAGCAGGCTGTTCTTTATGTTTTCCCTACAACTTTTCAAAACACCTGAAACTTGAAAATCCAGCTGCTGGGCACACTTTCCAAGGCATTCGGAGCATAACATTATTTGTCACTTCAGTGATGTGACCCTCACCGGCTGAGTTGATGACGTGTCTCAGGACCTGCAGGGAGCCCACGCGGATCCGCTCGTTGCTGGTTTCCACTTTGGGCAGGAGGAAGGCCAGCAGGCGGTCAGGGGCAAAGCAGGCTGCAAAAATTCACAATAAGCACATACACAGACCAATTCCTCAGATATGTGTGTGTGCCTGTCACCAGACCAGCCCTGGGCTTGGAGCCTACAACCTCACCCCCACCCAAGGAAGACCACTGCTCAGCTTCCCAGGAGAGAGGGGTCAGTTCTTTGCCCAGTCCTGCCTCAGGCCAACAGGGAAACATCTCTGCCTGCTTCGCTCACAGGGAACAAGTCGCCAAAGGTCCAATCCAGTTGGTGCAGCTAGACCAGAGCCCCCAATGACCAGACTCACCCTGAGGAAACGAAGGAGCTCTGCACACAGGTCTGGGCACCACTCTGCTCAGGACCAATGGCCCTGCAGTGCCCACTCATCGGGAGTGCCCTCTGGCCAGGATGGGTGGGAGTGGGGATACATAGTCTTTTTTTTTTTTTTTATTTAAAAGTTTTTATTGTGAACTGAGTGATAGTGGACATGGGAGAACATCGGTTTTACACCATCATTTCATTGCAATGATTACAATCTCCTCCGTGCATCATCATCCAACAGTATTTGTTTCCACTCCCTCTGTTTGTTTCTTTGTTTTTTGGGGGGGATGTACACAAAAACACTCAGAATCATTTAAACAACCAAAGGGCACATTCTGTAAGCCTGCCACCAGCACTCAGTCTTTCTCTTTCCATGAGTCTAGGGTCCTCATCTCTGCCTGTATCTCTGGTGTTGCACGCTGCTTCTCTGGATAGGGTCCCACATTCCGTTTGTGCTCTTCTCCCTTGAAGGTCGTAGGGTCCTCTGTTTCTGGACTATAAGATTAACTCCTCCCCTCTCATTGTTACACAACTTCTACCTTTACAGTTGTGACAGTCACAATTAGTCATGATAACAATTACTCACTATTGAATCATAAGCATCTTTTATCCCCATCTCTTTTCACCAGACCCATTTAAACAAGATGAAAACTATTCAGTGGGGACTCTACCTTCCCTGCACACTCTGAAACTAAACTTCCTCTTGAAACCTTGTAAGCCAGTCACTTCGAGTCTTTAGGGGATACATATTCTTGAGGGCACACTAGAGCTTCTCATGTGACAGGGTGGCTAAGGGGCCCCCCCGCCCCTACACCTGCTCACCCATCACAGTGAAGCAGCGCAGCACTTCCTTCTGGTTGCTGATCACCATGGGGCTAGATGAGTCCACTGGCACGCAGATCTGCTCCAAAGACAAAGGGCAGAGTCACTGAGGGAGGAGAAGTTGCGAGACGGGTAAGGGGAGCATCTAGGAAAGCCATTCCCCAATCCCTACCCTCATCCCAGCACCATAAGGACAAACTCTCAAGAGAGGGTGATTTATAGAGAAGACCGATTCTAGGACAGTCACTTCGGTAACAAGTTCACACCAGGCTGCAGCAGCCTACACTTGGGGCTTCCCTGGAGGCTCCACCTCCTCTCACCACATGCCAGCTCTGTGGTGACACCCTGGCTCACTGTCTGTCCCCAGTGTCACAGCATAGGACACAACAGCGGCTAACTCTGCATTACATGCTGCCGTTCTTTAATGATACCCACAGGAGACAGTCGGTGAAAGCCTTAGAACACACAACATACAATCAATCAAATACAAATACAACACAAGGTCCCAGAGACAATAGACAATTTTAGCTCACACAAAGAAACAAGAGAGAACTGCTCAAACAAGTGACCAAGATGCAGCGCCAGAAAAATGTTTCTGAGAAAGAAAAGGTAATGGAACTAACTGAAAAAGAATTCAAAAGAATGATACTTAGGTACCGTTCAAAGGATTGACAGAAAGATCACTGAATGTAAGGAAAATATAATAAAAACTTTAGAAGAATTCAGAAAAACACTACAACAACAAACAGATAAAATAAATGCAAATTTTCAAACAATACAAAACCTACTATTAGAAATCCCTAAGCTGAATACTGAGATCTCAGAAATGGACAGGACACTGAAAGGGCAAAGGAGGAGATTCGAAGCAACAGAAGCCCCAGTTAGTAAGCCTGAAGATACAGCTCTCAATGCTAGTATGCTAGAAGAGCAATCAGAAAATAGACTGAAAAAGTCTGAAGAGAGCCTACGATTTATGTGGACCCCATGAAGAAGAACCACTTCACAGTGATCACAATTCCAGAAGAAGAAGAGTCAGTAAAAAGCACAGAAAAAAATGTCCAAAAGTTGTTGGAAGAGAATTTCCTTAATATGAAAGATGAGTGGATAAGCATACACAAGAAGCTCAATGAATCCCAAACACAACAGATCCCCAAAGAAAATCACCAACACATATCATACGCAAACTTTCAAAATAAAAGTCAAAGCCATAATCAAACTCTCCAAAATCAAAGAAAAGGAAAGAATCCTGAAGGCAGCTTGGGAACAATGAAACCTTCCCTAACAAAGGAGAACCAATAAGATTAAACTCTGATTTCTCAGCAGAAACCATGCAAGCAAGATGGCAACGGGGAGACATACGCAAAACTCCGAAAGAAAAATACGCCAACCAAGAATTCCTCACATATGAAGGCAAAATTAGAACACTGCAGATAAACAGAAATTAATGGAATTGGTAACAATCAGACCACCTTTACAAAAAGTACTAACGGAAAGCCTTAGGACTAAGAACCAACAACATTAGACAGTAACTGGAGATTGACATACACGGTAAAACCACCCAGAATTCTATTCAGATAGTTTCCAAAATAAAACAAATCTACAAGACTGAGAATAGGGAATCAGAGAGATAAATTTATAACCAAGACAGTTACAAAGCAAAAGGTAGGAAAAGTACAGTTACACAATTCCAAATTGCAAGAAAGTCAAGTAGATTTCCAAGATAAAAAAACTGTTTTAAATTGGGGACGAGATTAATAAATTACAGGATAACCTCAAAGAAAATGAATACACTTCCACATCAAATCAAGAAATAGGACAACCGTGAAGTGTTTGTAAATATTAAAACAGTAGTGAGAAATTGACAATAAAACACAGGAAAAAAAAATGAACTCCGCACAGAAAAATATATGGAACGAAGACGACAGCATCACCACACACAAAACACACACACACCAAAGTAATATATGGAACGAAGACGACAGCATCACCACACACAAAACACACACACACCAAAGTAATATATGGAACGAAAAAAACAACATCACTACACACAAAACACACACACATACCTAAATAATATATGGAACGAAGAAGACAGCGTCACCACACACAACACACGCACATACCAAAATAATGTCAGCCAATTCACACCTGTCCATAACTACACTAAATGTCATTGGATTAAATGCACCAGTCAAGAGCCAGAGAGTAACAGAATATGCTGACTACAAGAGACACACCTGGCACAAAGGCAGAAATAGATTCAGAATCATGGAAGGGAAAGAGACCTTGGATAAGCTAAGCACTGCTTAAGAAGAACAAAGTGGGAGGCCTCGACCACATGGCCACAGTGGTCCCAACAGCCTGGCACTGGTGCAATGAAGGACAGACATCAATGGAACAGAACTGAGAACCCAGAAGTAAATCCAGCTACATGCAGTCAGCTGACCTTTGATAAGAAAGAGCCAATGTACATTAAATAGGAAAGAAGTAGCCTCCTCAAACAAATGGTGCCGGAAAAACTGGAGATCGATTCGCAAAAGAATGAAACAAACCCCATAACTCACACCATATACAAAAAGTAACTTAACGTGGATTAAAGATGGAAATGTAAATCCCAGAACTATAAAGATCATCAATGAAAAAACGGGGACAAACTTAAGGGTTCTAATACATGGCATACATAAACTATCAAACATGGCAAAAAAACACATAAAAAATAAAGGACAAAATAGATGTTTGGTACATACTAAAAATTAGAAACTTATGTGCATCAAAAGACTTCACCAAAAGAGTAAAAAGGGAGCCCACAGACTGGGGGAAACATTTGTTTTTAAATGACGTATCAGACAAAGGACTAATCTCTAAAAATGTACAGGAAACTACAACACCTCTACAAGAAAAAGACAAATAACCCAATTAAAAATGGGCACAGGACATGTACATCCACTTCACCAAGGAGGTGATCCGGGCAATCAACAAACATATGAAGAAATGTTCACGATCACTAGCCATTAGAGAGATGCAAATCAAAACAACAATGAGATAGATATCATCTTACACAACAAAGATAAAAAAAAAATAGAGGACAATAAATGCTGGTGAGGATGTGGAGAGACTGGGACACTCCTGCATTGCTGGTGGGACTGCAAAATGGTCCAACCTCTCTGGAAAGCAATACGGCACTTCCTCAGAAAGTTGAAATTGAGATACATTATGATCCAGCAATTTCTCTACTTGGTATTTACCCACAAGAAATACAAGCTATAACACGAGTAAATAAATGCACACCAATGTTCAAAGCAGCACTATTTACCATAGCAAAAAGATGGAGACAGCCTAAGTGCCCATCAACTGAAGAATGGATAAACAAACTGTGGTACATGCACACAATGGAATATTATGCTACCTTGAAGAATAACAAGGAAGCAGCAAGCCACCACATAACATGGATGAACCTTGAGGACATTAGGCTGAGTGAAATCAGTCACAAAAGGAGAAATACTGCATAGGGCCATTACTGTAAAAAGATTAAGATTAAAAAGAACCCACCCTAAAAGGGGGGGAAAAAAATCTTTGCTGATCACCAGGATGTACGGGATAAGGTGAGGGGAAGGAGGGGAAGATGGAGCATAGGGTAAGGAATAGATACAGGATAGCTTGGGTGCTGGGGTGGGGGTGGAGGGCAACCCACCAGAAGGAGGAGGGGAATGGAAGAACAAAGCCGACAGGAGAACAGTTAGGCAAGTTTGCATGGGCTAAGTGGACTGAGGTAAATGATGTCTGCACAACCTTGGAACAAGGGTGCTGGGATACAGGGACTGAGGCATGGTGTGAATGGGCAAAAACAGGGAAAATAATGTTAAGATGCTTGGCTTGTCTGTTGAATCTTGGTTTCCCTTGCCTACCATTGTAAAACAGATACTTGAGGGGGAGATAAAGGAATACCAGAAACATCACCATAGAAAGCTTATTAAGTCTGTCTTCAGCCTATGACTGATTGGAATATCTAAAAGGGGGCTAGAACTTGCCCAGTGAAGGAGGCTTCCTGTGGAGCCTTTGCATTGCATTAAAACCATAGGTAGAATCCTGAACTGCACCCAGAAAATTCTGAGGTGGGAAATTTCCACTTGAATGGACTAGCAGACCAGCCTGGAGCAGCTAGAAAAATAGAAGATACTTCTTGAAAGTAAGAACGGTAGGAAAAATCAAAACCAGTAACGGCAGTCTGACGACTACTACACAAAAAAGCAAGCTGTTCGCCCAGGAGCCATCAAGGCAAGTGGTCGGGTCCCCTCAGAGCAAAACCCCTTCCAAGACTAAGACTCAAGAGGAATACATGAGCAGGCATGTGGTCTGGCTGGTGACCACGTTGGTCACCGATAAGGGGAAGTGGGGAGGAAAAATAGCAATGAAGCTGTAAGCTAAGTCTGACCATGTTCAATAGACCCCTTTGAACCCGGGTTGAGACCTAGTTGGCCAGCAGTATGGCAAGACCTGGGGATTCCTAGGCCCAGAGACAGTGACATGGCCACGAGGACTAGAGTGGAGAGTGAAGCCTCCAGCTGATATGAAGTGAGGCGAGATGCACAAGAACACCCATACTTGCAGATAGTACCCACTTGACCTGGCTTCAATGGTTGCATGATCAGAACTTGACTATTAGAAGAAATAAGAAGAAAAAAACCAAGTAATTCGCTACAATTTGATGAACTTGACCTATATTTATGGATGCAGTAGCTCAAAAGACAGAACAAATATTTACAACAAGGATCATTCCCACACCCTCAGTACACAGGGTTAACAGGGATGGGCAACTTACACACTGGCTACCCAAAATGGGGGGCTACAAAGGCAAGAAGTGATTGGCTTACAAGCTTTCAAGAGGGAGCCTAGTTCCTGAGGTTACAGGCGAAGGTAGAATCTCTACTGAGTGGTTTCCAATCTGTTGGGACGGGGCTGATGAAAGGCGGTGGGGATAAGAATCTTGTGATACACAATAGTGAATCATTGCTATCAGGACTGATTGTGAGGAGTGGAAATGTAAAGGTAGATGTTTTATAACAAGAGGGGAGTGGT